AAGATTTTATTTATTTATTTGACAGAGAGAGACACAGCGAGAGAGGGAACACAAGCAGGGGGAGTGGGAGAGGGAGAAGCAGGCCTCTGGCAGAGCAGGGAGCCCAATGCAGGGCTCGATCCCAGGACCCTGGGATCATGACCCGAGCCGAAGGCAGACGCTTAACGACTGAGCCACACAGGCACCCCAAAAAATTATTTATTTAAATAAATATTTGTCTTATTCTTTCCTGGTGGACTCACCTAAAGGTTAGAGATTGGGTCTCTTCTATGCAACACTATATCACTAATACATGCCTGACACATAGACAATAAAAATGTGTTAACCTAGAATCCAGATGTCTGGGTCTAATAGTTTAATATTTTTCATTATGAAATTGCTTTCTGCAACAATTATAAGATACATATATATATAAGAGATAACTCTACTTATGTTAAGTATAATAAAAGTATTTTTCAAACATGGTGCATTTAGTTTATCATGTGCCTTAGACTAAATTTCTAACATTCTTTCTATTGTTTCACTATGATTGAGGACAGTACAGATAACTACTCTGTGAGGACACAAGACTGTCTTAATAGTTCTTATCCTGAGTTTTAAAAGGAAACCAAATTTGCTTTTGTTTTCCAGGCAGTATAAGCCAGGAAAATTGTGTTCTGAGAAGTTCACTGATTGGCATAATATGTGGCGTTTTATATCCCTGTGGTTTGGCTTTTTCTAAAAATGGACGCCTGGCAGTCAAGTAAGTCCGTCTGTTTGTTCCTTTTCTTCCTTCCTTCCTCCATTTTTTTGTTTGTTTTTTTAAATGTTCATAAACATTTCTTACTCTTTAGCTGCCAGTGACACATTTTAATTAGAATGTAGTTTGGTACTTCAAATAGCTAGCTTTAAACCTTTTTGCTATCTACATGAAAGACCGTAGAATAGAAATTATCCATTTGGGGGAAATCAATGAACTTTTCATAGAAAATACATCCAGAAGAAGTTCTTAATTATTTTTCCTTTTTAGGTATCATACTGTTCCACTGCCACCAAAAGGAAGGGTTTTACTTTACTGGCTGCTGCTTTGTCAAACAGAGATAAAAGCTATGATGATTCCTCTAGTCCTTCAGACGGTATTTGGAATATTTAATGGTCTACAGCATTATGCAAGATTTGGAAGTACACTTGAGAAAACTACATGAAGATTAATCAAAGTGAATGGATACTAAATCAGCAGAATGGGTTTTTTTTATGATGAGGACTCAGGCATTGCTGAAGCAGTTAAAAGTAACTCTGGACAGTTTGTTTCTGTTCCTTTTGCCTGGTATACAGCAGGTACTCAATAAATATTCAGTAATTCAGTATTTAAATGTAAGTTTCATCTTTCTTCATTGTGTGTGGAAGTGGGTTTGAGACGTCAGGGTTTGCTCTATACATTTATATATTCATTCATGAGACATTTATTAAGCACCTTACATCTCAGGTACCATGTAACATGTAATAAGGAATGGTCCTTAACCCAGAAGGAACTCACAATTAGAAGAGAAATTTAAAGGGCGCCTGGGTGGCTCAGTTGGTTAAGCGACTGCCTTCAGCTCAGGTCATGATCCCAGGGTCCTGGGATCGAGTCCCGCATTGGGCTCCCTGCTCTGCGGGGAGCCTGCTTCTCCCTCTCCCACTCCCCCTGCTTGTGTTCCCTCTCTCACTGTGTCTCTCTCTGTCAAATAAATAAAT